GGGCCCTCGGCCTCGCGCCCGCCGCCCGGAGCTGGTGTCTGAGTGCTCCCCGCGCTGCTGGGTGTGCGGCACCCGCGAGGGTCCGCTCAACCTAGCCGCTTTGGAACAAAGCACAGAAGCTGCACCAACGAAGCAGCAAGTTTTTTCAGTGTATCCGCTCACAATCTGAAGCCCTGTACTACCCATGCCCTTAGAAGTGATGAATCTGCGGGAATTCTGGTTTTAACTCTGGGTGAACTCGGTGACAGACAGGGAACTATGTAATTCTCGACCTAGCTCTCTTTAAATTGATTTTACTATTTTCTTCTTTCAGAATTTATTGAGACCTAGTAAACAGCTTGACTCGAAAGCGAGACATGTTTAAGTCTCTATATCCTGAGTATTGCCCTGCTGGCCTGTGGTCCTTTAATATAGGCTTGGCTGGCCCACCACTCGTCTCTCACAGTCATCGCTTCTTGTAGAAGGCTGTGTTGCTTTGGGGGGACAATGGAAGAGGTATCCTGTTTGCACAAGCTTCATGAGATGATTGAAGATAACCACTAATTTCTATTCCAAACACAGTAAGAACAGTCCAATTTCCAAAGCACTAAAATGAACAGAGCAAGCAGAAAATTAATACGCTTGACTGTTGCTATCCCCTGCCTACCTGAAAATACCTAAGGTAGAGTACATTTGATAGTTTGCTAGCAGGATTTGCTAAAGTGCATGACCTTTGCTAATATATATTTGTCTCGCTGTTTTAAGGAGTAAGGCTGACAGTTCATAGTTCTTTATTACACAGAATGTTTGTTTGGACTCCAGAATTACTGAGGTAGCACATACCCATAGAGCTACAGTGCGCAGACACATTTGCTGGGAACTGTCATTGATTTCTCCTTCTTTCTTGCTGTACATCAGATTTAGTCCTGAGTACTGTTCGATTAACTGGATGCGGCAATGGTTGGCATTGGCACAGCTGGGCAATTCAGAGCCCCGCAGAGTACTCTGTCAGTGTTCGATGGGTAGTCGGATTCAGTTTTGCTTTTAACTACACCTTTTTTGAGCTGTAACAGCTCTGCTACATGAGCATGTGTGCTTGCGTTGGTCATCATTAAGCGTAACATAAGACAAGAATCCTCTTGCTTCCAACTGCTTTTAAGTAGGAGGTTTGAAACTCTGTTTGAAGCCAGGCTTTAGCCCAATAATGGCTGCACTTCAAATGCTGGATCAATGCATCCCATGTGAGTGCAAGCCTCTCTGATTCAATTGCTCATTTTCCTTGCCTTAATAGGTGGTATCTTTATTGTACTGTCACTACCAACTCAATATAGCCGTGTACAATTTTATCCTTTATGTCATTTATGTCAATAGGGAATGGAAGCTGTCATTTCTCTCTGATCCCGATCTTTAGGTGCTTGAATGCCATTAAAATCAGTGCTGCTACTGTAGAAGAGTTGTTTATTTTGAAAGAAAAATAAACTGCCCGCTGGTGCATACAGAGCACGCTGTGGGGCTGGTAGATTATATCCAATGTCTGATTTCATAAATGCAGACAAGTCTACGTTAGGTTGCCTGTGTCCGTTCCTTGCACGTATTGTCTGCCCCACCCGTGCTAGACAACAGGCCTGCCTGCAGCTAGAGCAGTTACTGAACCACACGTACATATTGGAAGTAAAAGCAATGGTAGTTTACCTGCATAGGCCATGTTGCTTCGTGAGCAGCTGAGTTATTCTTGCAGATGGCTTACCGTGGTGCATCTGTGACTTAGCCCCAATTAATTACTATCACATAGATCTCAACCTGAATCTGTAGGACTTGGATGCTTACAGTTAAGTGCCATGTTAGTTTGGTGATCTGTACCTAGGTCACACCAGCAGCGTTCCAAGAAGAAACCTTTACGGTGCGTAACTTCAG